GTTGTCATGAGACTTTGAACAATATATCACGCCTTGATCGATTCCGACAAGGATCGGGGTGTGACACAATACACCAACAACCAAGGAACGGGAGTGGGTGGTCGTTTCGGTTGTATGCCACGAGGTCCCTATGGACAAACTTGTAATGGCATTCACTACATAAACTTAAAATTTTGGATTTTGAAAAGTTATTTATAGTTGTTTAATAGTTGTTGATTGAGTCAAAGTTTCACCGAGTCAAATACAACTACGGGAAAAGTGATGTTTTAGATTTCTTTTATGAATTTAGGATTTAAGTTCCGAAAGTGTTAAGGCAAAGGAGAGTTGATAGGATTGTAGAGCTTCTCATCACCTTTTCGTGGATATAAAGAACATCAAAATCAGAGTTGGAACGAAGAAGTTATGACTGTTTGAAGTTACAAGGATTTTGGGTTAAGTCGAGTACGTTGGGCGTACAGGGAGTAAGTTGAGCGTACGAGGCACAGATAATCGTGATGGACCACCCACTTACGTTGGGCGTACAATCTGTATGTTGGGCGTACGCCAAACATACCAAAACCCTAGTTTTGGGTCTTGGACCATATTTAAACACCTTAACTTCTTGGGAACCCTTTTTATCTTCAACCTCCATCCTCTTTAACCCTAAATACGAAACCCTAGCCTCCATTTGTGAAATCCTTGAGTTTTTTGGTTGCTTTGAAGTATTCTTGGTGCATCTTGGAGAAGAAGGAGCTCTTTGGAGAGGTGTTGGTTGCCTTGGAGCTTGTAGATCCAGACTTTGTTCACATTGATCTATTTTCTAGAGGTATAAAGTTTTGATCTTGATGTCTTTCTCTTGAAGATCTAGTTTGGGTTATGATTTGTCATGTTTTGGTCCCATGGTTGTAGTTCTTGTGAGTATAAGTTACTCCAGAACCTTTAAGCCTCATATTTGGTCTTTGTTGAGGTCATTAAGTCATAAAAATGTCACCTTGAAGGATTTTGATGAACCATGCAAGAGTTGGTGTTCATATTATGGATTTAGATGGATAAAAACAAGTATTGGGTCCCATTAAGACATGCAATGGATTAAAGTTGCCAACTTTACGTGTCAAGACATTATTTAGGATTAGATCTGAGAAGTGGACTTAGTGACTTAACCATTTAAGCACTTAATGGTGAGATTGGGCTGCTGTGGAGTACGTTGGGCGTAACCAGCTCGTATGCAGCGCGTACTAGCCAAAGGTGGCGTACGTTGGGCATAGATTGAGTACGTTGGGCGTACTCAGTTGTTTGACTTTCGTTGACTTGTTGACTTTAGGTCAACTGTGGATTGGCTTGGGACTTATTTGGGGCAAAATGGTCTTTTGCCCATTTTTGGAATATTTGACTCGTTTGTGGGGTATTATCTTGATTTTTAATTAGGGTTGTATTTATTTTTAATTAGGGTTTAGCGACCCGGACAGTTATTTGGTTATCAGCGGATTAAAGTGAGTTTCCTCCCAGTGCTTAGCGGGTCGAAAGCACCAATGTCGACCCATGGATTATGGTTATATGTATGCTAGTTGTCTGTATGACCTTGCATATGTGTATGTATTGTATGTATGTCGAGCGGGGCCCATCACATGATACATGCAGATCTGTTCCGACCGGGGCCCGATGGCTATTAGGCATGACCTAGTGTATGTTTGATATGTATGGTATGTGGTATTTTGAGGGAACTCACTAAGCTTCGTGCTTACGGTTATATTTAAAATGTTTTCAGGTACTTCCGGTTCGAGAGGGAAGGGCCCGACTTGATCGCAACGCATCCACCCATGTTTCCGCACTTTATAATTTTGGAATTGTACCCTGATAACTATTTTTACTCTGATATACTTTTGAATGATTGAAACGATTAAATGGTGTTTATGGTTGAATTAAAAAAATGAAAATTTTACATTAATATTGTTGGGACATTACAACTAAAATCTAACATAATCAAACCCAACCTCTTGTCAGATCCAATAAAAAAACATATTAAACAACCATTTAATGTTATTACAAGTCAGAGAAGACATTGATGTTATAATCATCATAACGAACATCAATATTAATACTACTATATCATGAAAACAAATTTTACAACGATAGAACAGTTAGGTCCTGTTTGATTTTGCTCTTACAAGTCCAGTTAGATCTTTTATCTGACTTGGTCCAATAAATATGTTTGATACCATACATTGTTGCTTCTTACTCAGTCCAAACAGGTCCACATAGCTCGGATTCGGTTTGCTAAAAAATGTTGACTAAAAAACTTAATGAACTTGCCCAGGTTCTCCATCGTCTTCAATCAGTCGCTTTTCCTTCCATCACTACCGGTCCTCTTCCTCTCTATTCGATTCTATGGATTGATTCATGAAATCGATTTCATAAAATTGAGGTAAAGCACAAGGCTTTTGATATCAATTCTTTAGGGAAAATGCAAGGCTAAAGCAACCGAGAAAAGGTAATTATCTTTGCTCCTAGTAGTTTATCTTCATCTCTTTGATCTATATTTACTTGGTAAGCAGGATATTTAAGGGATTAGAAACCTTTTGTGCTACAGGTGATTGCCAAAATACTTGTGGATAAATGTGACATTGAAAAGTTTAAAGATTACAAACCACAAACATTAGATGAGGCCCCGTCTTTCCCACCTAAAGAAGAAGTAGTTGAGAAGCCGATTGTATCGTCAGATAGACTTGATAAAACTTCAATTAATAAAGTATTGTTGATAGTTTCAAGTGACACAGCTACCCATTATAATTTGTATGCTCTTATTGTTATATAAGTATTACTGTACGGAGAGCTTACAACAACGATCAAGTATATTGTGTTGATACTAAGTTCCTGCCATTATATTGAGTTAAATTCACCGTTAGATTCTTATCAAATCATCTGTTAATGTACAACTTTGAATCAAATACAATGTTTCTCTGTCTATGGAGAATTGAATACGGTTTATCTAAAGTTAAATTAAAATAAGGTAGTAAACATGAACAAATTGGAAGGAAAATTGATAGAAATGAGTAATTATAAAGTTTATTGTTGTAAAGGCATGTAAAGCTTTCATTTATGGTGTTCTTTCTCTACATATAATATATTGAAGAAAGTGTGTAAAGATATTATTTTGTAGAGATAATGGTAAAGGGGAATGAGAATGGTAAAGGGGATATCAATTCCAATCTGCCATCAACTTCCAATCCCACGAATGAAATACCACTTGAAACTTTTACTCGATCTCTTCCAATTACATATTGAGGAAACATATAATCGTTGATACAAATGGTAGCCAAAACATATGAAAAGAGAGGAATGTCAATGTCAATGAGTATCCATGCACAATTTTTGTTTTTTCTGTTTTGTTACCTCCATATTGACTTGTTTAGATTCTAATGTTAACTACACATTTTGGATTAGAGTTACAATGGTATAATTCTTGGATTTTGTATAACTATTCATCAATTTTATTCTAATATTTTATCATATAGATAAATTTTAATCAGCATAAAATAGAACAAAATGGCAAAATAATCATTTTTATCGGTCAACACAATCAACACATATATAATCAAACAATATGATTTTAATATTTAATCAGAGGATGAAACAACCTTTTACACATCTTGATTATTGGACAAGGACATTATACTTTTAATATTTCACATTTTTATAACGTGAAACAAAACTCTATCTTTTTACTATTTAACAAATTGTGTCACTAAACATGTCACATCATAAGCCCATGTAATTTTTTTTCGTACATACCTGGTCACTGTTTTTTTAGTAAGTGTTTAAGTTATCATATAGTTGTTTTTCTAGTAGCTTCTGATTATTGCCCCTGTAGATATGTATGAGTGCACATTATAGAGATTTTGGTTGTATTCACTACTTGGAGTGAAGATCAATAATGGCTTCAACTTTCAAGTACTTTGAAATTATTTAATATATTTGTTTATTTCGAAAAGAAGAAAAGTACAATAAGAACAATGTCGTCTCCCATAATTGGTCTAACAAATTACATGACTCGAAATCTCACTTTGACCATTAATTTTGTTTCATTATTCCAGATGTAATCAGGACCACTCATCCCACTTCTTGACTCAAATCTAACCGTTCATTTTCTTGAAGTATCTTCAATAGATGGGCCCCTTTTCGTCTCCCTCTTGCACTACAAGCTCCTTGCATCGCCAGCATCACCACACGCGCCACCTCCTCCTGCGGTGCAAACCCCATAGCATCTCCACTACCGGTGCCACCGAATATCACCGCCAATATCCCGATAGCATTCTCTCTACCCCTGGTGGTTTCCATCCTCCTCATCACCTCCACCATCATCGGCCCTACCAGTGCATGTGCTCTCAGCTCCGCCGCCCCCTCTGCCACCGTACAAAGAAGTTCCAACGCTGCTAATGCCCTCTCTGCCACCGCACCACCATCCAAATCCACCAACGCCTCCACAACTTTCCCCACCGCCCCTTCCTCCACCGCCACATGCCTATTACACTCTCCTAAACAAAGCGCTAACAACACCCTCGTCGCCGGTTTCGCCAATTGTTTATCCTTCAAACAACACAACACTCCTCTCATTACCGCCGGTGGACACGACACCAACTCTCCGCCTTCCGAGGCAGCGCGTGGGGTAACCAAAGAATGCTGAAGCATGTAAATAGCTTTGACTCTGTCGGAGTCAAGACCCGTGCTGAGTTGAAGCTCAGCTACATGGAAAAGCTCCTGAAGATCGGAGATAACAACAGGAGGAGGCGGCGGTGGGGGTGGCGGTGATTGGTGGTGTACTTGAGTTGTTTCAGGAGACGTATCTGTTAGGAAATTGGTTGTTGAGATGGGTGTGTGCGAGAATCTCCATTGAGTAAAGCTTTGTGAAGTATTAGACGAAGAAGAAGACTCGGAGTGGGTTTGCGGTGGTGGTGGTGGCGGCGGCGGTGTAGGTTCTGAAAGAGGGAGAACCGGTGCGGTGGGATTGGTGGGGCTGATTACAGATTGAGTGCAGTAGCGAAAGAAGCCACAGGAGAAGAGTGGTCGAGGTGGTGGTTTAAGTTTAGGTTGGTGAGTTTTCATGGCTGGATCGATGACAGCTGTGGTGTTGGTTGGTGGTGGTGGTGGTGGTGGTGATGGTGTAGCTGTAGAATGTAGAGTGATCAGTGAGTGTTTGTGTGTGAAGGAGTGGAGTAGGTGTAAGTGTTACTAGAGAGGACGAATTGAAAGGGATGGTGCATGGTGATTGCGGGAAGCTGGCAGGAAGCACATGTGTCCATCACCATTTTGCAGTGGCAGTGAATTATGACATTAGCGTTTTGAACTTCCTTCTAAACTATACGAAAAAGATTTTTGGAATCACATAGAAATAATCATACAAACGTACAACCTCTTGATTTCCATATCTTTTCAACAAAGTGATAATTTATAAACGACCACTTTTCATGATAGATCATCCACCATACATGGTTTAAGGTATCATAAATAAGGAGATAATTATAACTTATGGTTAAAAGGAATAGTTAAAGAGATAGAAATGTATATTGGCATTTAGATTAAATAATTTATAAATTAAACTATAGTTGATAATATATAAACTAGTAAAGAACCCGCGGCTATGCCGCTTTTGGGGTAATATGGAAAAAATCGGCAAACTTTAAAAGA